ATTAGTGGGTATTTGAATATCAGGAAAAAGCTGGATCAGATCAGGAATTCATGTATTTTGTAGGAAATCCAGATATAATGCTCCTGTTATGTTTTCATCAAAAAAATATGGACCAATAATTGTATTTCTCACAATACCAGCCCATACGTTAGTTTTTTGTGGTCTTTGCGTATGGTACTCTTGCATCCAGTGTGGATTTTCATCAGACCAATAACGGGTGTTTTGCCGGTTAACATGACCGTTCAAATAAAACTTTGCCTCGTCCGAAAATAAAACGTTATCAATGAAATTGTTATATTGGTTCATCATATACTCACAGAATTCAGTTATTCGGTCAAAGTCGTCTTCAGCCAATTCATGGATGAGACGTACTTTATAAGGATGGTATTTTACCTTTTTAAAAATGTTTGACACTGAAGACTTTCCAATACCAAAATCCCTAGATAATCCTCGCACTGTACAGTGTGGATTTTCTACAGCCGACAAAATTATGTCTTGTTGAATATTTTCATCAATTTTTGGTCTACCTTGCTTTGCTGCATCCCTCACATGTCCTAATTCTCTGTATTTTCGCTCTATTCTTCTTCTTCTTCTTCGAAGCACTGGTGGGCGGGTGAACCCCCTGCACGTGGGCCTCCTTATTCGGGCCCATTGTGCGCCCACATGTTACGACATTCAGCTGGGTATGCCGACTGCCTTGGAGAAGTTCAGCAGCTTCCTCAGCTGAATCTCTTTTACGCTTTTACGATCTTTTTTCGCTCTATTCTACTTACCGTGGATTGTGAAATAGGTTCACGATCTGGGTGCATTTCATGGAATAATCGGCATACCTCTTGTTGAGTCCGCATCTTATCGCCAATACCAATCATCATTAATATTTCAATCCTGTCACTTTCGGTTAAAGGCATTTTGTAAAAAAAGTTCACGAACGTACCTTCTCTAAAGCGTTAACAATACGAAACTGTGCTTCAATGTTTTTGACAGTTTTGTCAAATTAAAAAAATGGTAAAAGATAATGCCAAACAAATAGTTATTTATTATACAAGGGAAAAAAGTAGTAGATTTTAGCTCCAGGTTGTGTTGTCTCCCGACGCGTAGCGGAGGGAGACAAAAAACCGTGAGCTAAAATCTAATATTTTTCCCGTGTATAATACACTATTTTTTTCTGTGACAGAAGAGAGGACGAATCAATATTGAGAAAATGTTACATTATTTTGAAATCTGAAAATTATCGACGTGAAATTTTAAGTTTTTAACAGTAGGGACACCTGCATTCTATAGGCATCTTTATCATTCTTTTGAAGTAATCAAATATTTGATGTCACTTCTGACAGTCTAATTCTGTGATTTGATTTCAAAAAATTGCGAATTTAGTGGTTGTTTAGTAATATACGTAACCGCGAAGTCGAATCGAAGATAAGGACTTGCAGTTCTTTCTCGGAGACGGTATTGTTGACTCATATTTCGGAACTATAGCACAACAAAAGCCATCAACAGTGTATATATATGTGATATATATCCGGGAAAAAAGTACTCACTTTTTGCCCACGGGAAAAAAGTAATTTATGAAAAGTGACATTTTATAACCTGCCAACAGAGATGAAATACCAAACTTTTTTCCCGTCACAGAAAAAAAGATTTTTATAGTCCACGGGCTTGGATCACTAATAAAAGCTGTAAGATACAATTATTAGGAATAATGCTGGATGTTCTTGATAATTTATCAAAGTAGTTGTATAACAATACGTAATTTCATTCAATGTGTTTATTACGTTTATTCATTATTTTTATCACTTTGTAAGTAAATTTTTGCATTTTTGCCCACCCTGTACCAATTTGAAGCAACATATTATACATTTTTGGAATCAGCTCAGCAAAGACAATTTGGAAATTGAAAAAAAAAGGGGGGGTTCCATTTGAAAAAAAAATGGTGATGACGTCATTACACGAAAGTGGTTCACCCTGTATATTAGATTATGATTTGAAACAATAGTAAATTGAAATCAAAAATCGACCTGTTTCGGGAATTTCTAATTTTATTGTTCATTCTCAGCCAATAATGACTGACTAATTGACTGGCCATCGACCATACGAGAGCTCATGAGTGTTCTGTGTAGGCTTTGTTACTAACTACATACGCTACCTTAGGAGCAGCACTGTTTATTGGAACACAACAGCGAATCGTGCGGAAATCATCTTCGGCCGAGACTACGAAAATAATAATAATTTATAACCCATTTTATGAATAAAATTGTCAGCTTTCTTCCGGGATCCGAACCCAGCAATTTGTACTGGGCCAGAAGGCGGCAAGAGTTTTGATGTTTGCTGGGATATTCCTTTTCAATGTATTGTTATAGCTTACCCAACTTCAAAAGTTCCTTTGTGGTTTCCTCATAACCATTATTAGCTGCATAAAGGAGGGCAGTGTAGTTTTTGGAATTCATATGATTTATATCTGCACCTAAAAATAGGGATACGAATAGATTTACCAAATCGAATTCTAATTTGTTATGATATTATCCTGATTATCCACGAAAATTTTCTAATGTTTTCAACTTTGAGAAAATCGATTAGCATGAATAAGCGCAAATTCATATGTCTACCAAAGATGGCAACTTATAGTTGCTGAAATTCGTATTTAGGTTTTTTGGAATAATTTTTTATGTGTTTTATACATCAGTGTGTCTTCTAACGGAAGCATATTTGTTGCGTTAGGATTCTGAAATATACAGGAGCGAGAGATATACCAAAAATACACTATATGAACAAGTGAGGTAATCTCCAGTGATATACACTGCTCGCCAACAGCCATGGAACCACTAAAATGAGTGCGCAAAAGAGGAACTTGGGTGTTTTCCGCACGCTAGTAGAAAAAATAGTGTACCTAACACGTGCGAAAAAGTATCACATTCCGCACATGTTAGGTTATTTCGTAGATCCATACTGCTCTTTTGATTTAACGGTATCCAGATGACAATCGAAAGGTTAATGTTGACAGCCTCCTTCCGTTAAAAGATTGTTTAACGGCCAGTGGCCGTTATAATATTATTGTGATATTTATTTTTTTGTTTATTATTTATTCATTTATTCATCAAACAAATAACTTCCATTCAGAATAGGATCTGATATGAGGAAGTACATAATAAGTATATTATACCTATAGGAAAACATTTCACATTACAAAATACATCAACAACAATATATTGGCAAATTTCATCATAGGTTTATTTAATTTCTCGGAATTCGTATAGCATAAAATAGATCTTGGACAGATCTATTGAAATCTACTGAATTTTTGACAAGGTATTTTTTTATGTTCTGGTTCCCACGAAAAGAGATATCGTGTAATGTTCAGAGAACATCGTGAGAACCAAGGGAAATAAAGTAGGAATTGGTGGTCTTCTTGAATATCTGGAGGTTATATGCCTCGGGAAACACCTCCCTTGGCAATGTGTTCCAGAGCCTCGCTGTTCGTTGGATGAACGAGTCTTTGGAAAGAGATGTTCTGAAGGTCTCCAAAGTGACCACGAATGGGTGCGAAGCCTCAACTCGGCGGGTTAATCTCTCGGGGACTACCAAGGGAGGAACAATTGTTGATATTTCAGAAGAGCATCATCCATGACAATATCTATAAAATAGAGTCAGATCGACAACTTTTCTACGGTGTTCCAGAGAAGTGAGTGAGTTTGTGAGCGAGGCATCACCCACGAGACGAATTGCCCATTTTTGGACAGAATCCAACAGTTTCAGGGTATGTTTGGGTGCTGCACTCCAAATATAGGAACAGTATTCCAGGACTGCTCGGATCTGTGTCTTGTAGAACATAAGCAGCTGACGGGAAGTGAAATAGCTCCTGGCCCGAAACAAAAAAAACAAGTTTTTTGGGATGCACTTTTAGCAATTGATCTCACGTGATTTTCCCAAGAAAGGTTATTGCTGATAGTAATACCAAGCATCGAAATGGATGTCTTCAAAGGTATGGTTAATACTCCTGACAAGCTTATGTTGGGCACAGTGAGATCGGCTTTTCTGGAGAAATGACATGCTTGTGTTTGCATTGAAATCCACCAAGTTATTGGATCCCCATTCGAGAATTATAGCCAAGTCCATATTTATGTTGTCAACATTTCTCCCGCGTTCGTTTCTGATTTGCCTGGCTAGTATTGGAGCCCTGGAAGAGAAGGCGGTATGGAGGGTACTATCATCCGCGAAGCTTTGTACTGGACATGAAGCTGCTTCCAACAAATCGTTGATATGGAGTAGAAATTTTGCCTGGCTGGTATTGGAGCCCTGGAAGAGAAAGCGGTATGGAGGGTACTATCATCCGCGAAGCTGTGTACTGGACATGAAGTTGCTTCCAACAAATCGTTGATATGGAGTAGAAATAGTGTTGGTGCTAGAATTGATCCTTGCGGAACACCAGCATTTAAGATAAGAGAGTCAGATGAAACTCCGTCGACCACTACATGGAGAGACCTGTTTGAGAGAAAACTAGCTAGCAGAGAACATAACTGGGGAGGCAAGCCATAAGATGGAAGCTTGGCTTGGAATAAAAATCGAAATGGCATCCCTGGTCCGCGCGGTGAGTGAGTTGACAACATCTGTCATGTGCTGTTGTCAAATTAATTATTCACGAAATTCGGTAGATTTCACGTGTGAATAAGACCGTGCTGTGAATATAAGTGTTTCGAGGTCGACGAAAAAATGTAATATGCTCCCCTCGGCGAAGAACTATGTGTATTGTCTCGCCTGATTCCTAACCTCGGCTAAGGCTCCGGCTATCAATTTGCCGACTCGACTATAATAGACAGTGTTTCATCTTTGGTACATAAAGAACTATTTCTGCATTCTTCGAGTATTTTTCATAAAACAATATTCAAAACATGCATTCCCAATCAAGGAGTCATGCATGAACTTGAGTTCGTGATTGCCAACTCACCACAACATATATGAAAACTTTTATAATGATGTCGAAATGAAAATAATACATAGGTTCCTACCTTTGCTGTGTAGATATTGAATGATTTCTAAATGATTCATTTTAGTAGCTAAAATCAGCGGTGTATTTCCTTTATCCGTGACTGCATCCACGTTCAAATCCGGGAACTTTTCCAAGACCTTTTTGATCCAAATTAAATTTCCTTTGAACCCCAACATATGTAGAACATTGAAACTATCCTGATTGGTTAGTTTTGGATCGATCTTTTCATGGCTCAGCAGTAATTCCATTATTGCGTCATTAGGTATCTCATATTCGCTCGCAACAAGAAGCACAGTTTGGCCTTTGTCGTCTTTTTCATTTATATCTTTTGTTTCAGGAAATAAGATCCTGATTTTATTAATATTTCGGTATTGTACCACTTTATGCAGAGGATACGTTTTTTTATCCTAAAAAAAAAAAAATGAATGCATCAACTTGTTTTGGTAAATACTCAATGTGTATCTTTACATATTGTATTCATCTCAATCTTCTAAAGGGTACTCTTTAAATTTGGAACATCGTTTGGATTTATACAGGGTGTTTCGTAATATGTGGGACGCACTTCGAGAGGTGATAGGGCGTCTAAGAAAATAAAAAAGTTATCATAAACAAAAGTCGTAAAAGGCCTCGTTTGCGAGATACAGGGCGGAAAAGTTGCAAATATTCATAATTTTTTTTATGTCCAACCTGTAACGCTTATCGTGGTGGCAAAATGTGGTCTGTTATGTGACTGACATAGTGCCACTAATACAGAATAATATCTATCATGGTTGTAGAGTAATCTGAATAGATGTCTTGAATGGACTTATCCGACACCTACAATCTACATCAAATTTTGGAGTTGAATTTGGTTATTCGGTTTTTCTCGAAAACAGTGTATCTTTACGAGTTTCAACACTTGGTGCTTTTTCTACAAAATTGCATCCTCCTTCATGTTCTCGAATAAAATTTCGAAAAGTTTCATCGCCACCCTTGTTTTTTTCTGAAAAATCACACATCAATACCCCTTAACGGTGCCACTGGGAGTCAGATTGACTAAATAATGCTACCGATTCAATCACTCTCAGGTAGGTACTGAGTTATGCACCAGAAAAAAGAGAATTTTTGTTAATCGGTTATCTAGAAATTCAATGAAAATTATTTTTTATTTTCAACTTCAACACCTTGTATCTCGCAAACGAAGCCTTCTATGACTTTAGTTTATGGAAACTTTTTCATTCTCTTGAGACGCCCTATCACCTCTCGAAGTGCGTCCCACATATTACGAAACAACCTGTATATCAGAATTGGGGAAATGTATAGAATTGAAGATTGCTTTCATAATAATTGTACCTTTACTCTAGCACTCTGATTGCCACGTCAGTCATTTTTGACCGACTGCTTGATCTCGTGCTGATCAGCATATGGCTGCTCAGACACTGTAAAGTCGTTCTGGTGTACAGAAGAGCATAAAAGGATGTCAGCTAAAATCGACCGACGCGGCATGACAAGGCAATTATTTTCAATGTATATAAGTAAAAAGTGCATGTTATACTCCTATTAGTTATTAATTTATCGATAAAATCACAGGGGTTGGAACATTTGCTATGATAGTAGAGTGCCAAACGAATCGTAAGTCGCTTAGATCAAAAGTTGGTGGGAAATCGGAGGTAAAAAGCTGTGACATGGCTAGAATTGTTACCTACCATCTCCAGATCATGGATCCACTTGTCGTCAAAAAATCGTCCTGTGCGTTTGGGGGGTAGAGGGTAATTTATAAAAAATATGGATATTTTTTTATTCGTGGAAAATATTGATGGGTTCCAGAACTTCCACCCTGTTGAATCTAGATTTCGTGTGACAAGTAGAACAAATTATAGAAAATTTTGAAATTCACTAATTACATTACGATATATGAGAAAATCATATTTCAAACGGCTATAACTCGAAACTAAGGAAGATATTGGCGAAATCATAATCCAATGCATGTAGTACGAAGGACGCGATTCGCCGCTTTCATACCCCGATTCGCGGCCGTCATAGTACGATCACCGTAAATATGAATTACTGAGTGTTATAGAATAGTACGATCTTGGAATTCACGGGAGAAATGGAATCGATCGAATCGATCGCTATTTTCCAAGTTAACAGAAATTTCTTTTAACTTGCTGTTTGATTGGAATTGACCTCAATTTATTTTATGAATGATTCTATCTCGAAAGTACATTTTTTATCCATCAGAGTAAAATGTCATCCATCTCATTTATCAACAAATTGAGAAATATTGAAAAAAACATTATTCGATAACCATCGAATTGCAATGTTGTAAATACACGTAAATACGATACAGTGTCCACAAGAGCACAAAGCTTCGATAATTTTTTTCGATCATGTATCTTGATGAATCATTATTCCCAAACCAATGTGTTTCGGTGTGAGTTTTTTGAATTTCGAATTAGCGAGTATTATACCTTGACATCAGATACTCAACGACACCTTTGAATCAACTGAATCAACTTTATCGTGTAAGTAATTTAAAAAAAGTTTTTTTGGTATCATATCCTTGTAAGCCTTGACATCCATATTTGGATGTTTATAATCTGGAATATCTCTCATATCTTGCTAAATATCTCAAAAAAAATTGTGTATCTGGGTCATATCTGATGCATACAAAGTCAGGGGAGTTATCTTCTGTAATTTTACTTTGTTCTATATATGTGTATGAATCAGATGAATTTTTGTCACTTTTGGAATCACAATATACGACTCATTAGAACGTTTTGATTTATTTGATGATTTCTATCTCCTTGTCGGTGCTTTCTGATTTCTTCGATAAATTCATTTTACTTGATTCTTTGAGATTTTCTCTCCTCGTTTCTCTGGACGTTTCGGGAACGAATCTGCTCCCGTTCTCAACATAAAAATGCAAATCATTTTTCTTGGAAGTTGCATTTTCATGTTGAGAACGGGAGCAGATACGTTGCCGAAACGTCCAAAGAAACGAGGAGAGAAAATCACAAAAAATCAAGTAAAATGAATGTTTCACCTCCTCGATTAACCTACAGACAGTAATCGATAAAGATTTTCCTATACCAGTTTTGCCACCAAGTTCGACATATTTTTGATATAAACAGTTGAAAGTTCACCCTTTTCCATTAGAAAATCTGCACCATCTATTAATTTTAACAGATTATCAAATTCTCTGTCATGTGTGGTATTGACAACTTTATTCTCACTCAGTGATCCTCTATAATATTTCCAATTCGATACAAAGCATTGGCTATGATACTTGACTTCCATGGCAATAAACAATGTTGGTAGTCAATACTAAGTCAAAATTTAACTCTTATTTGAACGTTTTTGGTAGAAAATACCTTCACATCAATTTCACTATAGAAATCGTTGTATTCCTGACACTAATGTCTCCAGTTCTCAATATTCCTGCGCCAGGAGATCAATTGACCTTTATTTTTATTGAAAATATCATCAATTCTCTGAAGTTCCACATCGATTTGCCTCGCATAATTTTTTCCGAGGTTTTTCTTATATTCATACAACTTTCGAATGTTTTTATCAACGAAGGAATTGACCATCTTTTCCACAAATGAAACATTTTCTCGATGATTCTGTATTCTGTACTCTGCTGGAAAGGAATCTTCAACTTCAAGGCATATTCAAGAGTGTCTGAATTGCTAGTACTTTCCATCTTTTATAAAGAAACATATATTTTATGATAAATTTACAATAATAGATGTCGTCAGCTAACCAATACTTATTTAATTATTGAAACAGAGCACACAGTACCAAATATCGAATAATTAATTCACAATAAGTCACCATTAAATGCAATGGTCAACGCCTCAATGTTGATGTGTATAACGAAAGCATATATTCTTTTAACTGTGACGAAAGCGTATGGAACCATGATAGCCGCGGGTATTGTGGGGAGAATAGGGGTACGAATGCGGCGAAGCGCGTTCGCCCGTGGTACCTGCATTGCATTATGATTTTCTCAATATCTTCCTTATTTATGCTTCGATTTTCAAAATCGAAGAACCATTCTCATCTTGAAACATAGGCGCATCGACATTATCTGATGTATTTTCGATAAACGTTGTAGAGATAATGCGAGGTATATAAAAAATAATTAAACGAAAATGTTTCGAGTTATAGGCGTTTGAAATATGATTTTCTCATATATCGTAATGTAATTAGTAAATTTCAAAATTTTCTATAATTTGTTCTACTTGTCACACGAAATCAAGATTCAACAGGGTGGAAGTTCTGAAACCCATTAATATTTTCCACGAATACAAAAAAAATCCATATTTTTTTATAAATTATCCCTTACCTCCCAAACGCACAGGACGATTTTTTGACGACAAGTGGATCCATGATCTGGAGATGGTAGGTAACAATTCTAGCCAGGTCACAGCTTTTTACCTCCGATTTCCCACGGTTCACCCCGATAGGATTCGATTGGCACTCTACTATAACAGCAGAAGGATAAAACACCGAAAGCTAGAAAAATTGTTTAATTTGTTACAAAAATCTCGTGAAACACCATGTACCGGGTGTACCACTAAGAAAGGACACCGGCTGTATCTCGGAAACTATTTGCCGCACAAGTTTCGGAAAAAAATATTTATCATAAAAGTGGCCAAGAAAAATCTCTGGAAATTATTTTCAAGTTTCCAGGACAGCCGCTAGAGGTCATTATTGCATTGGCCAACTTAAAAAACGGGTTTTTATGAAAATTTGATATATCAAGACATATCAGAAACACTTTTTCCATGTTCTCGAGTTGATTTCCAATCGTTTCGATCAAAAAAATTGCGCTAGCTCTTTAAATAAAAGAGGGAGGGAAGGATGAATAGTACTCTGGAGAAACTCTTATTACTACAGTTTGGCCTAACGGAGTTAACCGATCTTGGTCTCATTATCAAGGGTTTTTTCAGATCTTCCCGATAAATCACGAATCAAGTCGATTTAAATCCCGTGGTGGCCGCTATATGGCATCGTTTGAAAAATCAGCCGATTCGCCATTTTTTTTCGAGAATTTCATATGGAACCATATATTTTTCCTGCTATGATATGAAAGTTGAGTAAACGAGAAGAAAAATGGTGAAAACCGCGAGTTGATACCTCTTGAAGAACCGGAGAAATACTCGGAATAATATTAAAATTTAAACTGTTAGCATGTCAAATGCCTGTTCATTCGTTATCGGCATTTTGACAAATAAGCAATCCACAATGAACAGTGAAAACTTCCAATGGAACTTCAATTATATTTTGACGTTTCTTTCATTCGAAGCCAACTTGCCTTTTCTCATTCCTGACTTCCTGAGCCTATACTCATCACTACTTACATTTCAATTAGCTATGTCATTACTAAGAGTCTCCTTCACTATTGTGAGATATAACAGCA